AATATATTTTTTTTATCACTTATAGTAGCCATCAGCCTTCGTAACAAAATTAGCTCTTGGATGAATGAAGACTTTAGATCTAGATTAGGGATCTTAGAAATCAAGGATAGAGATGTAGTTGCCTCCTATGAGCCTCCAGTCACTTCAATAAGAGGATTTGATTGCCCAAGCTCTTGTTTTCTCTTTTTTCTTTTTATGAAAGGTAAAGCCATGCCAAATTTTGGTCTCAAATCCTGACTCTAATTTCATTTGGATTCTAAATCTCATTGTGCACCTTGTGAATATGTGGAGGCATTGATTTTGTATGTGGGTGGTACTTACTGTGGTTTAAAAGGCATTCCATTGGAATTAGTGGTTCCCAAACACTTCAATAGTCATAGGAATTTGAAGGGCCTCAGATTTTCTTCAATTAGTCTTCTATTCTCATGATTTTGAAAGTGAATTTTTTAAAAAAAATCGTCTTGTTTTTAACTTTCCAATGAACTAAGGCTCACTTAATCTAGAATTGGAACAATTTTTTGGTAAATTATTGAGTACAAAAAAGTTCCTTGCCTTAGTAATTTGATTTTACTCAATTTTGAAAAGGAAATCCTTAGTGCCTTATGATTGGATTATTTTGAAACTTTGAGAAAAAAAAAGGTCTATAAGCTGAGCTTTTAAGAAAACTTATTTCATAGAAATTAATGGCGATTTGAATTTTTGGTGAATTTCCAAGTGAAGAGAGTAGGCTACAATTGCAGTCTCAATTACTCAACTTTGAAGGGATATTTCTCATGGGTTAAATATTAGATTGCTAGGAAGATTTTTGTAGCAAGAGTAACTTTTATATGCTAAAGTAAACTAATAAATTATTATTATTATAATTTATATTTACATATATATATATATTAAAATTAATAAATTAATAAATTAAAATTAAATAATTTTTTAAATATAAAGTAATTAAAATTAAATATAAAATTAATAATAATAATAATAAATATTAATTAATATTGGTAACCTTTGCTTCAAAGGCAATAAGTGAAATTAAATTACAACCACCTATAATTGAATTAATTGATTTTTTTTATTAGACATGTTTATTGTATTAGGAGGAAAAAAATTAATAAGGTTGGATAAAAGAATCATCAAATTTCTAATTGAATTGGAAAAGTTATAAGAATTTGAAATTGGGAGGTTTTTTGGTGCTGCTGCTCTACCTTAGAGGTTTGTTATTGTTGTTGTTGCTCTACCATAGAAGTTTTTGCTAATGCTCTATGATGTTTTCATCCAAAAATATTATTTTGTCTAGTAGTTTTATTTTCATCCAATTGTGTTGTTTCATCTAACAACGCTATCTCCATCCAATAGTGTTGTTTTTATTTTATTATACTATTTCATCCAACTATATTATTTTCATCCAATTATGCCTATTTTCATTCAATTTTTCTATTTCATTCAACTACTTATTTTCTCTTTTTTTTTCTTATACAACTAATTTCATTTTATTATTTCTATCTCATTCTTTTTTCTTTTTTATTACTTGTTTTAAGTTTTATCAAATAGTAATCATTGCATAGAAAGCATTATCTAGAAAGTTGGAACTACAACCACTTGACTAACTAACTAATTATTAAAATAATCACACAATTAATATCTACTACCTTTTAAACTTATTGTATAGTTACTTCTCCTCTTAAAGTAGATAGAGAGGATTTTTAGCTCTTACTACTTCATGAATTAAACAAATATCTTGCAAGTTAGACACATATTAGAGGTCCTATAGAATATCACTATGTAGCTTCTAATTTTATATATATCTATATATAAAAGCTAGAATGAATTCTTTATCATTCTTGTCATTTCCTTTCTTGCTTCAAGTCTAATTTCAAGAGTCTTTAGTTTCTTAGTCTTTCACAATAGCCATTCAATTTCTTCAATATATATATATATATATATATATATATATATAGATACATTTTATCATCTTTCTTTGAAAAAAATCTCATTTATTTATTTATATTCTTTGAGTTCTTATCCTTGACAAAGAATCATGATTTTTTTATAAATAAATTTTAAAATATATATAATAACTATTTATAGATATTTAAATTGATGTATGAAATTAAGGCTAGGTTTATAACTCATAATTTTTTTAATTACTTCAATAAATCAGATTTTATTGATAGAATATGTAGTCTTCAATTAGAACCTTTTATTTTAATATGGATTTTAGAATAAGATTCTTAATTTTTATTCAACCATGTTAATAAAGATCAAGATAAAAAAGAATAATTTCAAAAAAATTATTTTATTATTGGTTATATATATATATAAATATATATATATATATATATATATATATATATATAGTTCTTTCTTTTCTTTCTAGAACCATAACTTATATTCAAGTTAATAAAAAAACCAAAACCATTGTATTTAAATTGATATAACATTCAAATTCAAAGAAGTAATATCTGGAAGATATAATTGGTCTTATAAATTTTAATCTAGCATGTGTTTTTCTTGATAATGTCGATTTTTTAAATGCAACATATTCTTATTACAAAAGAAAATTAGCCAAATAATGTTAATTTAAAAAAATAAAAATAACATGAATTATTATAAAAATTTAAAATCGACAAAAAAAATATTTATTATTTTTTATTTAATTTACCCAAAATTAATATAAAAATTTAATATTTTATTTTTTGAAACTAAAAAAAATAAAAACAAAATTTCATTATATTAATTATGTGTTGTCATAAGTTAGAGTTTCATTGGAAGAGAATCAAATTTTATTTTTATTTTATTTTTCTTGTCTTAAAAATAATGGTTAAATAAAATTATTGGATATATTGTTTTGTGCTATTGATATTAAATTTTTAATAATACTGCGGTTTTTTCAAAATAAGCCGAGCATAAATATTGATCAAACTTGCAAGAGAATTTAAATATTTTTTATATTTTATTTACACTAATTTATAGTCTCAAATAGATATTATTTTAAAAATTAAATAATTTAATTAATAGTAGTATCATAATTTTTTAGAAGACTTATATTTAAATTCTGTATTTTATATAAACTCTAATTTAAGTTTTTTTGAGGTAAAAACTTGTATTTAAAGAGCATTACAAGTAACAAATATAGATTTCACTATACAAGTTTTTGCAACATTATAAACTACACAAATAATTATAAAATAAAAATAAAATAGTATATCAATTTTAAAGTTTCAACATCTTTCCTTATTATTTTTATTTTTGAAAAAAGACTAGTTTTTTTTTTGAGCACTTAATAATCATTTTTTTCATTCTTTTTATTTTTTAATGTAAAATTTTATTAAAATTTATATAATATTTTTACTTAAAGATAGTCATAAAACAACTCCAATGTAATTTTTTTTGTTATATTATTTAATTACATAATTTTAGTATATTACACATTAGATATGATCAGATTTTTGATAAAAAAGATCTTGATGGAAAAAATAAAAATGAAATAAAATAAAGAAATTGGAATGATACATCTAATTACTTGCTTAAACTACTCATTCAACCTTCTTATTAAAAATATTTTTTTCTATTAGAAATTGATAAAATGACATTGTGATTTTATTATTTCAAAACTATGATCATGGACTTCATACATAATTTTAAATTTCATTTATTACCTATTTTTTCTTAATAATTAAACCTATGATTTTTTTTTTTTTGCAAAATTAAATTTTAATTAATGTAAAAAAAATAGGATTTAATATGTGGGTCAAATAAGAAATAATAATACTGAATATAAATATTTTAGTAATAACCTTTATATGTCTAATTTTAAACCTTTTTTTTTCTAATGGTTCTATTCTAAATTTTGATACAATATCCAACTTATTTATGATTTAAAAATATGTGGACAATTAAAAAGTACTTAGAAAACTTACTAAAAAGCTTATATTGAGGAAGTCTCAAAATACTCTATGCCTCATCTAATACCCATGTATTGGACATTAAGATATCCCATGCCATTCCAAAAATTTTTGTATTAGAAGTTGTTATCAGCATGGATGTTCTTAAAGAAACATTGTTCCATTTAAAGAATTTAAATGCATTTCTATGTGCCCTGTTAATATATTCACCATCTTTGTTTGCTACTTGAGTAAGCTTGAGTATGAATTTTTTTAGTTTATTTCAAAAAACTGTCATTTTGAAAATATCACTAAAAAATAACATTAACAAGAAGAGATTTATATACACATAGAATAATAGCTCAATTGTTAGAAACCATACTTTTAATTTATATTTTAAGTCAAGATAAAATCAACAAAATTATTGGAATACCTTTAGAATCAAAATTGTGTATATATATATATATATATATATATATATACATACATATTTAAAATACTAATAATACTTAACTTCTATAATTCTATAACAATAAATCTTTATAACTAAATTATAATTTTAGAATATTATAAATAAGTCCATGCATAAATTCTTGTTTATGTCAAAGCTTAGTTGCATACAATATTGTATTAGTTTTGTACTTTTTGCTTCAACTATCTTCATTTACATCTATATTAATAAAGACAACATTCATTGTTAATTCAAAGAATATTTAGACCTAGGAGAGCAAATGAGAGGCCATAACTTTTAAAGCTTGTGTTTGCCTGCTGCCCTGTTGTGATTTCCCCCTCTTCATCTACGACTTGGCTGTGCCCTTCCCTTCTGGAAACCTTCAGATATATCTATTTTTGGTGAATTGTAGTTCTTTCAAGAATTGTTTTCCTTTAAAGATAGTATAAAGTGGAAAGATGCCATAAAATGTGTTATGTGTAAAATCACCAAAACCCCTTCATGTACCCCCCTGGTACGGGATTCTGACATCTAGGAAAGACGATACGAACGCCTCCCTCCCATGACGAGGAGGAAGATGAAGAGGAAGAAGGTGCTGGCAGGTTGGCAGGTAGGTAGGTTAGTATGTATGCATGTTAGCAGAGGTAAGATGAACGAATGAAGGTAAGCATGTAAGTCCATGAGGTGGGTTAGGGGAGGGTATTGGGGTTGGCAGTCGATGCCGCAGCATCCTCGAGTCTTCTGTTTCTGCCTCTTCTTCTTCGTCTATTTCTTCTCCTTCTCTTGTGTGCTTCTTCGGAGAGGGGCTGATTGAGAGATGTGGCTGTCACCCCTTCATTTCCCCCTGTTTTGCTTGATCTCTTCTTCCTCTTATTGCTTCCTCCTCTGTTTCTCATTCCACATTTCACACTCGTCGGTGCTGTTGGCAGCTGACACCACTACTGTCACACACCACTGCCAGGTTTACTTAACTTCACTGCAGGGAATTTTATACTGTGTCACAATTGCTAAAACCGAAATTGGTTGATCGTGGTGCCAGCTGCTGGTAGTTTAATAGTGGGAGAAATATTTCAACCTCCTCGTGGTCGTCCATCTGCTCTGACTCCATTTTCGGAGGTTTCTCTAGGGTTTTGTTGCCTCTGTCACGATTGATATTGTATTGAATACTTTGGTAAACGATGCTGATGAAGATAAGTTCGATTTCGTCGCCATCAAACAGGGGTTTTGGTGATTGATCGAGCAAGCAACTACTCTTGAAAGACCTTGTGCGCCCTGTCCTCCTGGTGAGTTTGGTCCATCGGTTGCCTTTGCGCTCAAGCTCATCTCTCACGACAGGATTTCGTTGTTGTTGCTCGTTCACAACTTATGAAGGATCCCTTTCATTTTGGAGCTGGGAGAAGTTTACGCCATGAATTTGTGACAATTTCGGAATATATGACCCCTGGTTTAAAGTTTTGCGACTAGTTTTGTAGTGCTGTGATGTAGAGTCAGCCCCATAGTGACGTTGGCAAATGCGCAAGCGCGGTAACGTGCAGTACTTCTCGGTTGGATTGGTTCTGATCCCACAACTCTGACACCAGTCAGGAGGTCTTATACCTCTGCGTTGGGCGTGAGGGTTCGCCATAGATTGGTGACAACCGTGCTGGCAGGCTGTCTTGAATTTGTTTTTCGTAATGTCTTCGAGTGTATTTTTCCTTCCCTGTGGTTGTCCCGGGCGCCACCTACTGACTACAAGAGCGCCTTGGCGTCTCCGGTGTGTGCACCTAAAGTTGAGCTTTCGTAATTTTGACTCTCTTTTAATCTGAGAGCTCCGTATCAGGTGTAGTAGTGGAGACGGCATTCATGCTCCAAGTTTTAGAAGCTCTCAACTCTTTGTACATATCAAAGCCCTAGTTTCGAATCTTCTACTCATTAGGGGCTTTGATGGACTTGACTTTGCAGGATGGAAAAACAGAGAGAGTGAAGCTGCAACACATTTCCTGCCATTTTGATCGCTTCAGGTATTCTACAGCCGTCCTCGATATTTCTTAGCTTCAGTTGGAGTAGTTGACCTTAGCGGTTTTTGTATAGTACTGTGAGTCGATAAGCATTAAGAATCTTAATACTAAGTGAACAACTTGGAACATCTCGCTTGATTTGGACAGAGGTGTTGTGACTCAGAAGATTTTACTTTATCTTCAAAACGTCATGTCAAAAGTAGCTTATAGCATTTAATCTTGTTATATGAAGGGGTCGGAAGCTTCTAGTTTTGGATTAATAAATTTCAGTTTCTTTGGCAGTTGATTATACTGCTTAACAATTGGCTGTCTCGTTTGAGTTTGCTTCTTTCTCTTTGTTTACTTTTCCTTGAAATTGACAATTGCAGAGATGGAACAGGGGGCTCCTCCCTCCGCGTTAATCGAAGGGGCCCTCTCTACCGCTACTAATTTAGACCAAGCAGACCACAGTTTTGTCAACCAATTTGGGCGGGACAGCTTCTCTGGAGGGAAAAGACAATCATCTTATACAAATTCTGGTTACTCAAACCGACAAGGTTTTGTGAGGGATTCCCAGATTGCGTTCACGTCGTTTATAGAGAAGGGTGCCTTTCCTCACCATGAATTTCCTCGTGACACTGTGGTCAAGGACAGCGGGGGCACCACTTTTCCCGAGTCTGGTCCAGCCATCAAGAGACAAAAGCGTCCGGAATGGTGGCAGGAGTCTGAAGGGGTCGAAAGGACTCCGGAGCCTTTTAAACATGTTCATTCTGGTGTAAATGCTAATGCGACTCCTCCTACAGTGCCTGCATTTGGGAGCCCCGTAATTCCTTTCAGGGACACTCAGAGTCGAATGGGTTCTAGTCTGGTTGGGATCGAGGGCAATTTAGTTGAAGGTGAACTTGGGGCTAGTAGTGGCGAAGGAGCAGGAGTTGGTGAGGATGAGGATGGAGGAGATGGTGACGGAAAGGAAAGGTCGGACAAGGAAGGGTTTGCTAGGAAGAAAAGAGCAGAGATGTGGCAGGATGCTGAAATGGACGCTCTCGTGAAAGCCTTCCGGGAGGTTAATTTTAAGCTCGCAGCAGCTGGAAAGAAAGGAAAACAGGTGTTTAAGTCAGCCAATGATAAGTGGAAGGAGGTTAGAACGCTTCTTCTGGGCGCTGGAGTGGATAGACAACCTAAAGAAATCGAACGTAAATGGTCGAATCTCTCTACCGCATTTAAGCAGATTGCTGATTGGAATAAAAAGGTGGGGCGTCCTAGTTACTGGGAATTAGATGAGGTTCTGAAAAAAGAGAAGACCAAAGCAAAGGAGCTGCCGGCTACATTTAGGGTGCAGCTTTTCGAAGCTATGACTGAGATTATGGGTGATCGCCAGGGTTCTCGTAGCCGATCACCTGCACAAGGGACCCCTGGGCACGTACCTGTACCTGGGCTTCCTCGCCCACCCTCTGCTCCAGGTGCCTAAGACTTCAAAATATTAATAGCTCTTCAAATACAAGATCCTAACTTCATTCCATTAATTCTTTAATTTGAGCATTTTGCAAACATAACGATGCATGTTGTCTTTATTTACTTTTGTTTGATTTGAGAGGAATAGTGTTGTGTAATTTTGATCTTATGAATGTGCACAGGAGTAGTTGAGATGCCACTGCCTATGGAGAAGCTCGTTGTTCATGCCAATCTCTTAGATGGTGGAAATCAGTAAGTCTCGATGTTGTGTGTAGAATTAATACTGCGATTGTATTGCTGTCAAGTATGTAAGCATTGTTTGGTAGTCAGTAATTTATCTTGAAATGATACCTCATGCACTTGGAGATGTTTTTGCAGCAAAAAGTCGCGCGTTGTTCTACTAGCCCCAGGCAGCTTTAATCCACCAACATATATGCATCTTCGCATGTTCGGTTAGTTTGTCTTCAGTTTTCACCTTTTGCATGGCTACTTGCGTGCCAAATGCTGAGTACTACCGCTGAGGGATGTTTGTTGTGTTCACCGATGTGGAGGGAGACTTACGCATTTTTCTTTTCACTGATTCTATGCAGAGTTGGGAAGGGATGCTCTCAGAGCAGAGGGTTATCAAGTATTGGGAGGGTACATGTCTCCTGTTAATGACCAATACCACAAGAAGGTGCCAATTCTCTTTTGTAGATAATTCTGCTCCTTTCTAGAACGACTTTTATGAATGGTTTTATTAGCTTGATTTTTTATTTTAATTAATGAACTAATTAGTCAGCAAATTGGTGAATTTATCATTTTCCTCTAAGAACCATCACGTCAAGCTTGACAGTAATTTGTTTTAATGATTTAAACCAAATGGGTGCCCAACTGCACAGGAAACTTTAGTTTAACGTCAGTCTGGGTTAAGAAGCCCTATTTCTAGTGCGACTCAGTTGTCTCTAGGTGCTGATGTTTGTGCATGTGAAAATGGCAAGGGTCTTGCTCCCGCAGAGCACCGTATTAGGATGTGCCAGTTAGCAGTTGCTGATTCACCTATTATAATGGTAGACCCCTGGGAGGTGAGAATTGCATGGCACTCCCTGCTTGCTTAAAATATCTTACACTTTTTTGACTTAGTTTATTTTTGGGTTTTAAATCTTGTTCTTTTAGTTATGCAAATTTAGTTGTAGTGGAGCCTGAAGTCGAAATTTTGGGTGGGTTGCTTGAAGTAGGCTAAACAGAGTTCCTCCCAGAGAACGATCACTGTGCTAGCACGGATTGAAACGGCGATTAATTCCAATAACTTAGTCTCTGATGGTAAGCTTGTTGTTTATCTCTTATTATGTAGGATGTTGGTATTTACGCAGATTTTCTAGGTCACCACGTGTGCATGCCGTATTTATGTTATGTGAATATTTTTGCATTTTTGTGTTGAATGATGCGGAGATGGTTGTTTTTGCAGAAAAAGCAAGAGTCATGCTGCTTTGTGGAACTGACCTGCTTGAGTCCCTTATAACTCCAGGCGTGTGGATACCAGATCAGGTTAGTTGCTCTTTTAAGTGTCTGCATGCATTTTCCCAAGCCGTCCACATCATCCACTTGTAGCGGGATGATATCTGTGAAATATGTGTCAAGAGAACTATGGTATGGCGAGCCTTTATTTATTTGAGTCAGACCTTTGTAGTATGAAGACGAGGTATAAAAAATAAAAAATAAAAAATAAAAGTGAAATTTACTTTCTGCAGGTGCGAGCTCTATTACAAGATTATGGAATTGTGTGCATAAATCAAAGTGGGAAGGATGCACGTCGCCTTGTGTTTGAAGACGACGTGTTGTATAGTAACCGAGTGAGTGTTCTGGTTCCTAATTTTGGAACATTTCTGTAAGCTCGTAGCTTTGACGTGAATATCAATTTTACATAGCTTGTTTCAGGAGCCTTGCGTATATGATCCTACCCATAAGTCTATGTCGTACATCCAGGGGTTATCATGTGGTTCCAAAATTGCTGTAGATTTTAATTGTTTAGGTGTGAGAGAATCTTCATCTTGTCTACATGTTTTTCTCATAGTAGCAGTGCCTGAAGTAATGAAGTAGATGTTCTCTTGTAAAATAACTCCGTCCAACCGATTTGCAGAGACAGATTCTGGTTGTGGATGAGAACATTAAGAACAGTATAAGTGCGACAGCAATCAGGTACAGCACGCCTGTCACTTAATGTTTATTGGTCATGTTCTGAACTGAATGGGCTAAGTGTTTCTGCTTGTGCTTATCCTCAGTGTGTCTATTATTAACATCCAACAACTATTGCCGCAGGCGAAATTTGGCAAGGGGATTATCGGTGAGGTATTTGACCCCCGATCCAGTGATCAGTCATATCAAGATGCACAGTCTGTACATGAATGTTCATACCCCTCAGCAATTCTAAACTGGTTACAAAGTTTATTGCCCATGGAGCTCCCCCTTTGTGTCGAGGGTTATCATCACTGTTGTGGTGTGCTTAATGGATTGTGCTATTAACTAGGTGGTCTTGTTGAGAGCTGTGTGCATTGGTGGACCTTTGAGTTAATGTTACAATCCTGCCCTGGAATGAGTCTTTTCTGTTGGCACATGGATTTGTAAAGTTCGTTTTGGGATTTTAGTGAAGTTTACATTTCAATAAATATTGTTGTGAATCCAATGCCATTCAACCATGAGCTCAATCTTGTTTTATGACCATTGTTATAATTAAGTTAATTGCACTTAATTATAACAATCCAAAAATCCATGCAGCTTATTAAACCAAAATTAAGTTGTAAAAGAAAGAGTTGTACCACAAAAAGAAATACTGTTTCAGTGCACAGTCGGAAACCAGAAGCTTGCATTTTAACAGATACAATTATCAAATTGAACTAGACAGGTTTTCACTCGTAATTCTGTACAGGATTCTGGATTTTATCACATCATGTACCCAGTAAGGAAACCTGCTTCATAACTCCGACTTTGAAAGCTTGTTACAAACATCAGACGTAGTAGAGGTATGTAGGTAGAATGAATTAAGGAATCAGCGCTATCAACGAAGAGAGCCAGTGAAGAACCTTTACCCGGTAATTCTTTGCTGGTTTCCTCGGAACGTTGAAACAGAGTTGCTACTGTCGTCTGTGATGATATATTTCGAATACTCAAGAATATCATCAGTGCTTATTTTGAACGCTCTAATACCGTGTAGAGTTGTTGCGAAGTACTCACGGTACGTGGCGTGAGGGTGACACATGATTGAATACGTGCTAACATTAGGTTCAAGAATAGCTAATTTTCGGAAAATCCCGGCGTTGCCCTCCTGCAGCTCCCATTGTTAACTGCTTTTATGTTCCACAATCGTCTTCAACGACATTGTTGTTAAGCATAAGTTGCTGAACTTGCAATCCCACAACCCCGAAATGAATCTCGCTGGAAAGGGCAGGAGACGTCACACGACTGTCTTCAACGTTTGATGATGGATACTACCCTGCCCTTCGAGGTGCTTCGGGAGGAAGTTGGAAAACAGTTATTCAAGCTACCAAACCCCGAACCCCCAAAACTACCGCGAATGAATCCAGGAAGATGACGCTGTACCCTAGCACAATGATGCAGAGCATTCTGCTGCAGTGAGCTGTAGGGATGCCCTGGACACGGCATATCCGATGGATGCCGTGTGAGCAATCTTAAATTCTTGCGGATCATGTAGTTAGTCCAACAGCGAGTGTAATATCATTTCCACTGACAGAATAGAAGTGGACTAAATGATTAAACACAGTTCTTTAATTTCTTAACTAGCTCAATCTTTTTGTCTGATATTGGATTAATCGCACTTCCAACAGATTTACATGCTGAACTTTTTGCCAATGCTGCACTGCCAGAATTCCTTATCGGACATCAATCTTAATCTATTAAACCGCCTTTGGTGGCTGTGCGACTAGATTGTGGCGGCGTCACTGGTCGTTTCAGCTTTTTAAGCGCCCTCATGAAAATCTTGCGCATACGAGTCAGTGAAGGACGCACATCCTGGCCCTCTAGAAATATTTTTTTCATGGTCCACCAGCCTTGTTGATTAAAAATCTCGTCAGGATTGACCAAAATGGGATCACTTGCATTATACTGCCTACTCAGGGAGCTCTCCGAGGGGAGAATTTTGTAGGGGAGGTAGTGTAATCCCATCTTCTTTGTGGGCTTGCCATAGTACGTGGTCGAAGCCCAGTCGATGCCTAGCGGAATCACTTGGATTAATACCTTGCCGGGTTTCATGAATAAAAAGTGCGTCATGGCGGCACCGTGCACGCCCATCAGCACGTCGGTGCTGTTGAGCAACTGGAAGAGACGCTTCAGCTCCATGGTGGGATCGGGGCTTAGTAGCGAGACATTGAAGCCAAGCTCCTCAGCCGTCGTCACAATGTCACCCAAGTTTAGAAACTTACGCGTGCCATTGCGCACGATGATGCTCAACTTAGGCTTTGAAACATCGGGAATGGGAGAGTCAAATCTCAAGGCGTTTTCGTACCCACGATCCAGTAATTTCCTGAAGTCGCGGATTGATTCGTGATTTGGCATGCGGTTGGGGTCCACTGTGAGATCGTCATGGATGTGGAGCCCAACTTCAAGTTCGGGGAAGCAATGTACGCGAGTGTCATTCTCAAAGCTAATGATCTCATACTGGGACAATTGTTGCAGCACTTCGAAATACTTCGTGAGCCACCAATTGTGAAATTCAGTGATGATGAACACGACTTCGCCCTTCAAGTGCTGGCTGGTGATGAAGAGTGGGATGAGGCCGTCGTTGAACTCGTGGAACAAGTTTCCTGTGTAGCCACTGGTGCTGAACACGACGCCGGGGACCTTGTGGTGGACATCGCAAGGTGTTTTATCGGTTTGGGAGTTGGCTGGCACAATTCGGAGCGTTACCTCGTGCACCGTGTCCATGCAGCTCTTCTCCCACTTGCGTGTGTAGGGTTTAACGATCTCCGTCACTGACGATGTGGCGGGGTCCTTGGCGTACAGAACGATGGGTTTGTTGCCGTTAAACGTGAGCATTCGAATATCTCCTTTCATGTTGCAAATATCCGTCCGAAATTGCGACCGATCGCACCAGAAAAGCTCATGGTCTCCCTCGATCAGCCCCAGAAATTGAGCCTGATGGCTTGTCTCCAAACCTACATGCCGAATCTACCACATTATTATCACAGAAATTTTCTTACTTCCTTCGTGAGCCTGAGTGAAGGATTATTTAGTAATGCAAACCTCCGGTTGATGTGTGACATATGTGTCATAAAAATGATGAGCCTGTACACGCAAGTCAATCTACGAAGATCGCAATCGCATGGTGCTCAACAGGCAAACCATGAGTTCCAGATCGCTTGAAACTAAAGTGTGATTCTGGGTTGTACAAATTATTCAATCAACCTGCGAAGAATCTTACTACTGGTACCTTTACCGGCAAGAAGCAGTTTGCTAAAAATACAACTTTTCAAGCATGGAGAGCTCTTTCGGAGACAAGTTTGGAAACCTATGAGTGGCACCAGGGTGTGGACAGTGCCTCATCGTTTAAGGTCACCCAATCACTACATCCAAGAGGAATTACAGATGACCAAGAACAACTGGGTGATTTTAGAGATTACGACGTACGTGCGTTAATAAAAGCGTCGCGGTGGTGCCCGACAATGGTGATGAGAAACAGCACAAGCACAATCAATAATACAAGCTGTTTTGTGAGCAACGAACTTCGCTTGCTCATCATCCGCCAACGGCCTCCTGTCCCACCGCTCCATCCAGCTATCCTGCCTCTCATCCTCGTTTTATTCCCTGCTCCTCACAAACACACCGTCTCCCTTCCTCTCCTTCACATCATTTTCAAATATCATCACACACAACTCTCGATCACGACAGTTGCTCTCCCCAAGAATCGCCTCTCTGTGCTCCTCTAATTCCTCATCACCTCAAATTGATCAGACACTGGTAAATGAGGCTTGGAGGAGAGGAGCAATCTCCTCCAAGATACCCAGTGTCGACAACATCAGCGCTGGTTTGCTGCCTACAAGGTCTACCAAGTGCTTATGAGGTATGCACGCCCTGTTAGAGGCCTTCACACAGACGTCATGAAGTCACACAAAGTTTGTTGCATGAACAAGCTATCGTACGACGCCAGAGCTGCTTCTGTAGCCCCCGAGTAGCACTGGGAAAGCTCAACGAACACGTCTGTCTGCCTTTCTGGCTGTGCTGATATTCCTTCTTGGCTCTCAACTGACTGCTTCGCGTTAATCAATGCACCTGTCTCCTGGAGCACAAACGGGGAAAATATGTGGACGCTGTGACGACGCTTTTGAGGATGCCAACCTTCGGGTTCAGTATGTGTAGAAATCCGGTATTGATATTCCTGCAAGTCGTCCAGGTATGTCCACCAGATCCTGCAGTGATCCGACAGCACATTGGGTTTTAAGGAAGGCTTTTGGCAGGAGAGTGAAGTTGAGAATGCACTTGTGCTATGGTGCTTCAGGATTCAGGTAGCCAATGCTTGTGCAATAGGGTAATTCAAAGTTTTGCCATTGACTAGGGTTGCTGTTGTTGTACCCAGTGCAGGTCAGGTGGTGTTATTCTTTGATCTGAACGATCATTCATTTGTGGGGAAAATTTTGAAATGACAAATGAAGATAAAATCTCTAAGTACATCGATCAGGTGGATGCCCCAGGTTTCGAGTTGTGTTATGAAAAATATGTAGTGAAAGTCAATTGTTTTTTGTAGCTCACGTGTGGATCCAAATGATGAGCTCGATTCATTTAAATTCACACCCTACCTTACAAAAAGTGGAACCGTTGCATTGCATGTGACGTCTTTCTGTAGCGAACTTATGTCCAGCGTTTATATTGAGGTACGGATGTGCTCAATCCTTCCGAATGCATGAAAACCATCGGCGACTGTCGTGTTAATACCAGTGAATAGTTTGACTTCTCACTTCGAGAGGGTTTTAATTATGTTAAAGCTCGAAGGTTCAGCAAGAAATTTGTCATAGTTACAGTAATTTTGAAAGCATATTGTCTTCGCTAGAGAGCAAGTGCATTGGTGCTTTCAATGACTGAGACGCAAATTGCAAATCGATCATGTGAGGGTGTCATTGAGATGGCTGTCAAATGCCATTCAACAGAATCCTCGCAACTTCTTTCAACTTGCCATTGAGAACCAAAATCAGACTTGAAGCTGCAGTTGTGCAGAAACTGGTAAAAAAAAAACTATACGTGGTGGGGTCAGGCTCATGGTGCAGAAGATGCGACGAAATTTAGTGACTTGCAAATCATGCAAATTGCAAAGTATTTGAAACGAGAAGAAGTACCTCTGGTGTGGCTTCTAGCTGCGTAGAGATCTGAGGTGATGATTTGTTGTAAAGATTCCAGGGGAAAGCTCGGACCTTGGATCGTGTCTTGATTCCCAACAGTAGGTCCGATCACCAGACTCTAATGTCCCATGCGCACGGTGCATGAGGGTTAGAGACGCACCTACTTCTTTTAAGTACTTGCTGATACCTACACCTTCCTATCATGTGGAAAATGCTGCATTGTACTTTCCAGGCTGTTAGGGCCACCCCTCTTCGTTGTAACTGTTACGACGAGTGATAACTTTTTTATCTGAAATTTCCGAAGGCTGCATGGTGCTCATCTCAACATCATGCTTCAAAGTTGCTTCCCCAGTATGGTGTAACTAGTCAGGGCAGCTACTGTCATGACACGGTTGCTGATCTTTGATGACAAGATGCAAAGATAATATTTGGCACGGAGAATAGGTTTTGCTTAAGTAACTGCCTTGTTACCCAACTGCTGATAGTTTCAGTAACGAAACTTTTAGAAATTTGTAATATGTTTAATTTGATCGAATTATGTTCTGAAGGTGTAGCGAATTCTGAAACTTTATCGTAGTTATGTAAACCCACTACACAAAATCATGCGGAATAAGTCTCTATACTATTTAAATCTGATTTCTGTACTAATTTCTTCCTAAGTGAAAGACCTTGAGCATACTTTTGGAAGGGTGATGCGAGTTCTATTTCTCTCGGTAAGAACTAGTTATTAACGACGCGAGAGAACATCTGCGAATTGTGTGTACGAGGATAGATTACAGAAGATCGGACTTGTCTGCAACTATTCAACACACCGGTATACAGATAGTGGGATAAATTACAGCATTGGTGCCAGTTAGAGGTACAAGGAAACTTCGTAAAAGCAATTAAAGATAATGTCTCGTGCTCCAGAACTCTACGTCACTAAACACAACTTGTTAGATGACCGCTCACTTTATCATCAAGAGTTTTTCCATTTGCGACATGTCCCATGTGCAATTAAACTGCGGTTAATTCGATCATTGTGGATGGTACATTCGTGTCGACAGTCTGTTCTAAATAAAAGAGTAAAACGATGTTACAAATTGAATGACACTCCGCCCAAGGATAGACGGATCCACTCGGTTAAAAGTATCCGTCAAAATATCTAGAACGCAATGCCAGCGCTTTACGCCAATGCGAGCATGATGTTCCAGCTCAAGGATATTACTGCTTTTTAGCTGATGGCCATCTCCCCAATAGGAAAAGTAAAATTTAACTTCTGTATGATGGTTAGTACTACTGTCATACTTCATTGTCTCAAAAATCTAGCAGTACTACGTTAAGAGTTTTTGTTGAAATTTCCAGAATCAGCCGGATGTTCACTTGGTTTGTTAGCAAAGTACTCCTTGGCCATCGCTTTCAAACGGGGTCCTAGATTTTCACTAAGCTTGATGAAAACGAAGAACAAGATACGGTAGGCGACTATCATGGCAATTATGATGCCAAAATCACCCCACTTTCCTCGATTGTTTTTAATGCCGTATATCTGCTCCAGCACATATTCCCCCGACAGGTCTGGGCCGATAGGTTTACCGTCCATTCCCAAGAAGTTCTGAAACGTAAGACCTGGAAAATCGTTCTTGAATAATCCCTGCAACTCACGATGCATAAGATTCAACTACATCCTCATCCCTCAAATTACAGTTCGCATCAGATGCGATGCAACCACAACTCCTGCAACCGAATCTGACAATGCCATGAACTATTTGTGAAATTTAAGACGCACCTGAATGGCGTAGGTGTGGAAGGCAATGTATGATATCGGATACCTCCACACCGGCTTGGGCACGTCAGCTAACAACCGGAAGTATCCCGCCACTAACATATATATTGCCTGCTCGCAATTCAACCACAAAAGTTGGCTTCCAATACTTTTCAACCTTTGATGGCAAAATGAGATGAATTGTCAAGGTAAGAGCCAATACCATGCATACATGCCTTCACCTGTAAATGTTGACTAATGTAGCATGAAAATTGACAGTATTTAGATACAGGCATTGAAGCTTTTGTGTTGTATTGCTCAAGTGTGTTGACGAGGAAAGTCACGAACCTGAATGCCTGCACCAATTACAATGCCCGCGAGGAAGTTGCGTCCAACAACGCTAGACACAGCCATCATCAGGCTTTCCACACATGTCAAGGCGGCGAACAGCATGAGAATGAAGTATGCGTAGTGGCCGAACCCAGAATGCAACCTCACCAGAAAGTAGGTTAGGGTTCCAGACGTCAATGCAATCAGGAACAGATACGGAAGCGAAGCCAGTGTGTTCCCCACCACAAAGGCTCCCACGCCGTAGTGTCCACTTAGTCTCTCGTGATAAAATACCTTCATATCTTCCACGAAGGATGGAAATCCACCAATTGACATGAATGTCAAAAATGCAGCCACGAAAAACAGAACCCCGGTTCGACCCTACAAGTGACACCATCGTAAGGCTACGTGAAATCAATTATATGCTCTTAATAGAAGGTTTTAATGATCTGCACCATTTAATTTTAGCTGCAATATCCTGAGGTAGTGAAGGAATGTGTTTTCTATTACCAAGATAGAGCTGTACTTGAAACCGACTTTCCAAAAGATTGTACCCAGACACAATCCAACCATAGTATACATGGCAACACGAAGCCAGTAGTAGCCTGGATCTCGCGTCATGTTTACGAATGAGCGCTGTGTAAGAGTGACGCATTGCTGGATGAAATTTGCATGGCTCCCGCTACCCCCGATGAGCCCGGCTTTACCATTCTGCTGATCAAGCAAACAGATAACAGTTGGGTTAATACATCACTTGTGTGTTGTCACCTATCAGATAAGTTCCAGTTATTTTACGACACAGAGAAAGATGGAAGGGATTTGATTTAATGTGTTGGCCGAAGAAGGGCAGGCTTACAAATTGAGAGAGGATGTGAGTTATTTTGGATCGTGTAGCTATAGAGTAATCACTTTTTTGATACGCAGCTGAGAGTGTCTTCACCACTTCCTCTGTATTCTTCCTAGTTTTCAGCAGCAATGGATCCGTCGATTCCACATCCTGTACATGTCGGCAGCAGCCAATGACATTATTAGAGCAAAAAAACTACCTTATGCTCCAGTTCTGCGTCATTTTATCTGAGCAATAGCTCGAATCCAGATTGGTGATCGTGACGAAAAAGACTCACATCAACTCGAAGGTTCTTTAGGGCGTGTTTCACTTGGTCAAAGTCGGCATTGATAATTTGCAAGTAGTGGTCCGATGGATTTCGCAAAGGAGGGCATGGGTGGTTTGAAGCTGCAAAAAACTACTCCACCCAAAGATAATCAACAGCGGAAACCAAAGGGTTCAAGAACTGGAACTATCTTCACAACACCAGGCATGTTTGAATAGAGCTCAACAAGGAATTTTAACTCTGGCACTGTAACAAACCAAAATGGACCGTAGGTGAGGTCACTCACCTCAGAGGCATTCGCAGTCTCCCCAAAGTAAATGGTATGGCCATTGGAGAGGAGAGTGAGATTGTCAAAAAGTGCAAACACTTCACTACTGGGTTGATGGATTGACGAGACCACGGTGCACCCCTCTTTGGCCAAGTTCTTTAACGTTGACACTACGAAGTAAGCTGCAGCACTGCAACCAACCATTCACATGCAAACACATTAATCACGCTTATAAGTTTGAGAAGCACTGCTATCCGTCAGATATTATAAGATTTAGGTGCATGAACAAGTGACACGCTACTTACCTGTCAAGGCCGCTAGTAGGTTCATCCAGCAAGAGCAATGGAGGCCGAGTTAGAATCTGCAATGCGATACTTAGGCGACGTTTCTCTCCCCCACTGAGTCCACGCAAGAAAAAGTTACCCACGTATGAATTTTGGCTGTCCCATAACCCCATTTCTCGGATGGTTCTATCAACAATCGCTCTCTTCTCTGTCTTTGTGATGTTACCTGGCAACCGCAAGCTCGCAGAGTACATGATACTCTCAAATACCGTCAAAGTGCCTATAAGGACATCCTCTTGGGTCACATAAGCCTGAAAGTGATTATGAACCTTAATCAGTGGATGAAAGAGTATATGCCTAACAACCTCTAGGAAAAACATAACGAGGAAGAATTAAGTGAGGTCGACATACTGCAACGCCGTAGGAAAGGGAGGTTTTGCTCTGTCCATTGAGGAGAATATCGCCCGTCTGAACGGTATTTGGAGCCAGTCGCCCTGAAAAAAACATTTTCAGAAATGCAAGACAAAAATGAATTATCTTTTAAGAAAAGACGAATTGCCCGACTAGTTGTGCAAACAACACCGCAAGACGCAGAATGAAATGCGAAGGAACTTTAGAGATGCAGCTCATGGTGATATACCTGCTAAAGCATCAAGCAGGGTCGACTTCCCTGACCCACTGGGTCCCATAATAGCCAAAATCGACCCCGGCTCCACATATCCTGCAGAGATAATACATAATTGTAAAACCAGCTTGAAATTCTCACACAAGGCGACAATCACCTATGTTGAGTATTATCCCGTTCTACTCCAGCTTTAAGCACACCCTAAAGTGATACGTACATGGGGATGACCATCCTAATCCAAGCTCCAGAAAGGTTGGATTTCATGAGCAATGCAAGACACAGTGGAGGTTAAACGAGATTTAAGTCTTGAAACAAGCACTAAGCTTGCTTAGTCTAAGGTACGACATTGAGCATATCATCAGGCAATTCGATTACATGATTGAATTCGTCGTGGGAGCTAAAGAGAACCTGTTGCGCCTACGAGGATGGATCGGCTTGGTTTTCCCCCTTTTCCTTGGACGTTCACGCACAGGTCAGTCCAGACTACGTGAGCTCTAAGGCTGCTTGGAGGCGCACGTTCACAAACCCCATCTGGAGGCGAGGATACGTCTAAACTGACTTCCATTCTTGCGACTATGTTAATGTCAAGGCACTATCTCTAGCAAACTCAACTGCAGTCCAGCGGTTGTAAACTGAGGACCATCCACACAGGTACAGCGAAATCGCGAAATGAGCGAGATAGCGAGGGCGTAGTGGCAGTTTGTGGAGAGCAAGGAATGAACAGTGCAGGACAGAGGTGATGAGGGACAGGTCAGTGCAAAGAAGAAGAAGTGGAGGAGAAAGTGCACGACAGAGGTGATGAGAGACAGCTCAGAGCAAAGAAGAAGTGGAGGAGAAAGTGCAGGACAGAGGTGATGAGAGACAGGTCAGGGCATAGAAGAAGAGGAGGAGAGAGAAGAGGAGAAGCAGCAGCACTAGCAACAACTGTGGTGGGGGAATGAGGGTCAAAGGGAGGGTGAGGAGGAGGAGGAGGAGGAGGGGAGTTTCGTCCCTGTCACTCTTCCTCGACTCCAGGAGGGCCGGGTCCAGGTCACCCTGCCCTTGGTTCATCCATCTATCCATCCCTCATTCATCGTATTCATGCATCTGCTGAAAGATTCTGCAAACATGATTTCCTAGGAACCCTACAGTCTAGGCCTCATAAATTTCAGCATTCTAAAAATAAGACGCCGAATTTGCCGAATATAAAACAGGCTTGGCGCCTAAGTTAAGCAATGTATTTGTTCTGACCAAAATTGCATACTTGCGCACCCTAAACCCTCCGGCTAGTATTTTCCATGTCAAAGGGCGATATGCCATTCCAGCCTCAGCATGCTCTTGAATTTAGAGTTGAGATTTGTTCTGGCAATGTTCACAGGGCTGTTTCTTTGGTTCAATGTTTGTTTTGTGTGCACAGTGGTAGTGAGGACAGAGATGGGTCCAGTGTGAAGTGCTGGTGCACTGTGAATATTCAATTCTACAAGCGATCATTCAGCAAAGAAAATTATAGCGGTCACAATGAACGCCAACATTTTGTTGAATGGGAAGCGTACATTTCGTTGACCAACAAAGCAAAGAAATCATACTTTGTGAACAAGAAAAAGTCAATTATGGATACATTTCTAGATAGCTCTGACAATGAGTTCCACTTCAAGATTTTGGCTTCAATTGTTGAAAACATCATGGATGCATTCTTCCATCCAGAAGACGAGGAAGATGATTATGAAGCCATCACAATGAGAAATGCATTGAAATTGTTCTCTAAACAACCAAACTGGTTTGTCATTTGCGAAGATTAAGAATCCCTCCTAATTCAAACTTGCTTTGTCTCAATGAAAATGAAGCATACATTGGTGGGTCTCTCCTTCCAATGGACTACTGCAGTCATCAGCCATTACAAAGAGAAGTTCAAAAATCCAAAGTTGGCTTGTCTCAATGACCAAATGGTCAACCAATTTGTTCATGTTCTTGTAGGCATAAACTTATAGATCATCTCCAACATTCCTAGTAATAATTTTGCATAGTCCTTTGCCTTGGCCAGAGGCAATTCTTGTCACCGAGGAATATTATTCTTTGATATTCAAATCTAAGTTAGGGTTGATGGTCTACTTTATAACTTGCATTTGGTTGCCATTCCATTTTTCCACCATTCTACTACCTGAACCATTACCTTCCTAATCTACAAAATGTTAGATAACATACTTAACTGGTTTGTCATTTGCAAACTAACATAGTATAGCAAACTAATTGCCTTCAACTCAGATGGTAAAAATGTTTTGACAAGTCAATATGATAGAATATTTCGACAAGTCAATAATATAGTAGAATCTTGTCTTAAAAATGGATTTGAAGTGCTTGAAGGATACCAATTGATGGACTCATTTTGTCTTAATGTTGACATGGAAGCTTTGCCATCATTGCCAACTACTATAGTGGGTTGCAAAGAAGAATCTCATATCTGCAGTAACATTGTTATGGTAGATAATATGTGCCATGGTACATCCTATTTTGGAAATCTACAATGTTATACTAGTCATTTTGCAATCTTTAAAAATGAAATTCTTTGCAATATCAAGTAAGATAGGTGCAATTCATTGAAAACAGTGATTCGTCTTATCAAAATGATGCCAATTTTTCTTATAAACCACTATTTTCTAGCTCTTATTAGAAAATCCATAATTTATCAGAGATCAATGTTGAAATTAAGCTAATTTTGGCATTTTCCAAAATATATGAAGCATGCCTTAGACCTTGAACCTCCACCAATAAATCAAATCTAATCAAAGATGCTTTTTGAAAGACTTGAAAATACTTTCAAATTATCAAGTTCTCTCCTCCATGGTGAGTGGGAACCTTCAATGGGTCCTTTCTGGCTCCATTGTAGGGTTCATGTTCCAACCACCATAGGAATTGAGCCCAACATCAATTTTCAAGTAGATCCAAATGATTTGGTGATAGACCTGAAGGTTGTAGCTGCCATAGTAGGTTAGATGTTGTCGTATGGCATGATTTAGTATCTGGAAATACACTGGGTATCTAACTATAGAGAGTGTATCTTAAATCTTTATATGAATATTGTGTTAGCCTCCCTAAATTCCTTTATTTTGCATAAAACTCAAAATATAACAAAACCCCTTCAAAACATATTTTTCCTACGAAGGATTTTCTTGTCTTGAACTTTAGAAAATCATAACTCTTGATCTAACTGTTCAGTTTGTTTCAAATTTACAAGATAGGTAGAATCCACCCTTAAATTTTATCATAAAAAAAACCAACTACAAATTCACTCCCAATATTTTGGCATCTAAGAAACCCTAGCAAATACTCTAAATCCTAATTTAGAAGTACTTAAATACTATTTTCTTAATATCTCAAGAATCCAATACTAAAATATCATCAAACTTATGCAAAAAGTTTATTAACATAAAATTACACATTCCCTGATATTTTGAGCCAAAACCTTGTCAAATTGCTCAAGATATAGCTCAAGAGACAACCACTAGCAAATCGGGTTACTTACTATCCTTAGATTGCATGCACTGACTTCAAAATCCAATAACTCCTTTACTTCAACTTAGAATCTAGTAAGAATTATGTGAAAAGTGTAGCCGCAAAAATGTTCTCTCTAGTTGCGGTTGCCGATCCTCAATTGCCATCTGTTTGCGTGCGTTATGCCAAAAAGAGTGACAATAGCTCCCAAAACAATACCTTAACTTTGAGCACTTGTATCTCTTTCATATAAACTCCAAACCATACAAAACTTGCACTAAAACCATAGCCAAAAACCTAAAACTTCTGACCTTAGCCTTCAAAACTCAAATGGCCTCGAGAAACTAACCCTAATCCCTAATATGGCCTCGGGCAGCCTCCTCAAAGCCCATTGGTCATGATTTTTGATCAATAGGAATGGAGATTTTCATAATTCATCTCTATTCATCTATATTGGTGCCCTAATTACTCCCTTTGCTACCAAAATCCTTCTTCAATCTTTTTTCTTATAAGATTTATATAATTTATGCTCTAAATACCAAATAAAACAACCAAAAGAAGTTTTCAAAGGTCACCAATGTCTAACAAAGATGATTCTAAATATTTAGAAGTTACTATCAATCAAAACCAATCTTAAAAGCCACTATCAAAAGAAAATTAAAATTATACAAATTCTATAGTAATCTTTTTAAACAACCTCTTCTCAAGGTAATAATCAAATTATATTCTACAACCAACTAAAATCTACTAATATGGTTTTCACCATGTTACTTAATAAATTATATATTAAGTACATAATTACATTATTTTCATATAGTAGTCAAATCACAACATGACAACGTCATGGAGTTGTTAATGTTGTTTCAATTGTAATAATGTTTCTGACTATGCCCCATGTGGCTAGGTTCTTTAAGGCAATGAAGGTTTTCTTTTTTTGTTCCAAAAAAAGAAAAAGAAAAACAAACAAACAAACAAACAAACAAACAAATGGTTGCTTGCAATGGCCTCCATGGCTCCACATTCTCAAAACCAACCACATGGATTATAAATTCTGCTCTCATGCTGATGACAACAATACATCAAGGATACCCAGCCAGCCATACTGCCGCCCATGAGGGAAGCCACACCTTTACATCCTTGCTCCCTTCATCCATAACTGCCTCCCCTCAGTGTGCTGATGGCAACATCATCAATGATGAGCAGGCAATGAGGAGCAGAGGGTCCTTCCTTTTATTCCACCTTATAATTCTTTCTCTATGTGTTTTGTTGTTTTCACACTAGACTAGGGTTTCCTTGGCTATGTTCCACATGTTTATCTATTTTTCAATGTTGTCATTGTTATTATTCTCAGCATTACTATTAACCATACTCGTTCGAACCCCAGTACTTGACATTAAATTCTTAAGCAACCTCTCCTTATAATATTTTTTAAATGACTAGAATTTATAGCAATCATTAATTTTTAAAGAGTACAAATGAGACATCTCACACACAAAAAAATATTATATTTCATGATAAATAAACTTACTAATATTCTGATTTTATATAAATATAAAGTTATTTATTTATTTATTTATTTATTTATTCATATGCTCATCATAAAAAAATCAAAAAAATAATATGATATTTTAGTCTTCTTTTTTTCATTTAAGTGTGATACAATACATATTAATCTCTCAAAGTTTATGTATTTATTATTATAGTATTTTTGTATTTTTTAAATATTTTATTTTGATGCAACCATGGTATTCTTGATGCATTGATTATAGAGATAAGTACATGGTATTTAAGGACCTTAGAATTAGAAATTGGACAATGTGTGAAGCAGTATCACAATCAATAGATTAACTGCCACATTAGCGTATACAATCATGTCACTATGAAAAGGAATCAAATTCCACCTTATGGATTTGTCATATCTAGCATCTAATATATTTTTAGCCATCCATTTCTTATTCCATTTCTAAAACTAGATCAGCATTGCTAAACATTAATTTGTCTAATTTATCTAGATAAGTTTTTAGAATATTTGACCATTGACTAGGAAATGTGTCTAAAATTTTAGTCAAACCTTTTTTGTTTTCCAAAGTTCTCTATTGAATAATAAGTCATTATACTAGTGCCATATCATAAATAGATAAATGTTACATAATAATGACCACGTGGAAATAAACCAATTAAACTGAAAGTGGATGTAAGAATAATCTTTAAATCTATATATAATTAATTTAAGAATTTTTGAATCATAGAGTTAAAATTTAGAGTTTAGGATTGATATAGAAAAGAAGTATCCTTACATGTGCAAGCTCTCCATGCATTCATTGCTAATATTTTATAATAATTAAAACTAAACAATTATTACTTTTTTGTAAGCTTTTGGTTTAAACCAAGTATTCTTCCATTTGAATTTTTATTGGTTATTGAAAATATCTTATTATTTGGAAGTAACTAAGTTCTCATGTCCTTGTTGTTTTTGAA